TCTGATATATTGTTTCTGTTTCGCTTTTTAATGGGTCTGAAGCGAAAACTAAATTAATGCACTCTATCTAGAAGAACATGAATTGTAAAATTTTGCATGTAATGGGCAATCTGAGAAATAACTGAATCGCTTATTTAAAGAACACAACTACAGATGGCAGATAAGAATACGCTTTAAGTTCCAAAAAGTAAGTTATAAGTTAAACGATTGATGTTTGTAAATCACGATGAAAATAGAAAATATTCCGTCAGTTATGTATGTCACATTTATGTTGAGTAAATTATGATTTACCGAATATATTCTTATAATATTAATATTGTCTATCCGGACAAGGCCAAAGTCAATTATTAAATATCGCATATTAGATTAAAAGACTTATAAGTCTTTTAATTTCACTAAATTTCTGAACGCCATATTAGTGCAATAATATTTAAGGTTAAAAGAGCAGATTCTTTGCTGTTCTAAGTTATATTGAACGAAACTTTCTAAGACTTCGTAACATTCCTAGCTTACGAGTTAATGAAACGTCTTAGTTACATACATACATACATGTATGCATGGCGGGTGCGAAATTACAATTCCGAATGCTGAATAGTAACGAGACAATATTTTATGTCAGATGCACTAAGAAATTTAGACCTTTTATTTACTACTTTAAAACTCCTAGTACGCGTTTCAACTAAAGTAAAATAAAATAACTTGTCATGCCATTTATGTTTAAGTGTCCAGTTACTTTCGTAATCGAATCTCTTTCGTAAGAATCAAAGATTTTCACGTAAAAATCATATTTTACCTGAAAATCTAAACTTGTAGAACAACTATTTTTCATCAGGAATTTGGTGTTTACTTTATTAATAAGATTATTTAAATCTGTGATACACAGGTTCCGTGATGATAGGAGATTAAAATCTTTATTTCAAAGTAAAGAACAAATATTTATGTAGTAAAATTATACTATATCTTATCCTTTAAACGAGCAATTCTTGTTGCAAATTTATGAAATTTTGTATATGCGTAGATTCGGGAGCGAAAATTCGATCTAGCTAGGTTTCATTTTTAGAAAATGTCCTTTTATCCCTGTTAAACGAAAACTATCATTCGAATATGACATTTCAGTAAAAAAGAATTTCGCTCGTCGGTAATAGAGCGGCCCCCAAAAAACGTTATAATAGCTCGGTCGGTTTTTTTCTAACCAGATCATTTTGTTAAAGTTTTTTTATTTCGGTCCTCCAGGTACTAAATGCCTTAATTAATCATGGGATAGACTTCGGCGCCACAGTAGACATTAGTAACGCATTCGTTGTGAATAGACCTGGGCTTTCAGATTTAGAACTGACCGGCCGTCCGAATGATCTTTCTCATCAATCACTCCTTCGGGAGCTCTTGCTTTGATTAACTATAATACTGGCGGAACTGGGCGTGACGTGATGGGTAAATGCTGTAAATGTATTTTTAGCTTTATACCGATTGAACGGATCTTTCGCAGCTCCGTGTGACGTTGTTGGTACATTGTTGTGTATACGAATTGCAAAGATACAATTATATATCACATCATGACTCATATATTTTATTTTAGTTCATTTTCCGTTGTAATCACTTGACAAAACTAGTGTACAGTGTAACGTGCTAAAAGGAATTTTTATTGTTTGAAAAAAATGTTTCATTTTTACTTTTGTGAGAATTTTATGGTTTTGTAGTTTTTTTATTTATATTTAGTTTGATATCAACAACCGTCTTTAAAAATCTATCTTTTAAAACGAAAATTCGAACGAAGAACCATTGCATTTTTAGAAATTTAAATTTTATATTGCTTATCTTTGCACTTAAAATTAAACATTAAAATTTGTAGAAAAAAGCACGAAAAGTTTGTCGCCGCTGTGGGCATCGTACCCACGTCTTCGGGATTCGCGCCCTGACGCTTTGACCACTAAGCTAAATGGCTAATTGTCACCCCGACAAAAATCTCTAGGTATTTTATGTACATTCCTTTTTCGCAATTTAAGCAATGCAATATCAAGTGATTTAATATTGCCGAATATTAAATTTCTTGAAGTCACCATTGCTGTTAGAAATATAAATTTTTATACTGCACTTAGTATGAAAAATTAAAATTTATAGAAAAAAAGGAACAACTTTATTTTCGCCGCTAATAAAAACTACAGACATCAGACGTGGACGCGATTCCCGCTGCGGTGAAAAACTTTTCGTCCATATGAGCTGCAAATTTTAATTAGAGATTATGTGAGATGATTGCTTAAAATACTTCAGCAGAAAATTTTGCAATGTTCTTTAAAATGGTAGGTATGAAGAGCGTGGAAACTGAGTTGCGTTATCAATATGTATCTCGAACTTTGCATTAAATTTTTTTTTGTATATACAGAAAGCAATAACAACAGTTCCAAATCCGCAGTTTAACAAATCTATGAGTTTTTAGATGTTATCAAAATATTAATAAAAAAACATAATAACGTTACACAATACTAATCACTTTATTCAAATGTTTCAGCGGAAGATATTTGAAACAATTTAGCAAGGGTTAATTTCGACGCTTTCTAGATATATTAGTTGGAAAACAAACAAGTAGAGTGTTAAATGAAGGTAAATCTCGTATGCTAATCAAGTTTGTTTTGGGCAAACACCTAGAGAAAGTAACGAACTCCCTCGATAATGATTACGACTACGAGAACGTTCATTGAAATGAGCGAGCTCTCAATAGATATCTGCTCTCTCGGCAAAGTGAAAATTCGTCAGTACATTTTGTTCAGCGATCTACTTTGGACCGATTTCCAGGGTCTTTACACTTAAAATGTAACTTAAAATGTTTAGATAAAGTTGTTTTCGCCGTTCCAAGTATTCGAAACGGCACCTTTTGGATTACGCGTATTTTTTTACAATTTTATCACTTTGAGATTTGAAATGTGTGTAAAAGGTCACCATTTTTGATAATATTCATATACACTGTTGTTTTTGCAACTAACTACCGAAGCTGGACTTGACAAAATGAAATCGAGCATCCTTTAGTCATTTCTATTACAAAACAGAAAAGAAATAATTCCGATGTCTTGTTTCAAAAACGTTTATGACTGGGAATGATTAATGATGTAAAATAACCGTGCCAGTTAATTTATCATTTAACCATTGGTATCACCGTACCAGACATTGATTAAATTTGAATTAGAATTATAATTTAATAAGTTATCGAACTTTAATGACACGAAAATCGAGATGACATTTATGAAATTAGTAAACTGACTTTTGCATCAGAGTTATCTTGCAAATCGTTTTGTTATATTTACGTATGACACTTTTAAGGCCCTGTGATAATTAAATTGGTTAAGCTATTAATTTATACCTTTAAACTTTATTATATCGTACAATTTATATCTAATATATAAAATTCTCGTGTCACAGTGTTTGTAATTGAACTCCTCCGAAACGCCTCGAATTGCCGCCGCCGTAAACGCAGTGAAATTTTGTGTGCATATCGACCAGGTTAGAGAATCGGACAACATCTATTTTGCATCCCCCTAAACGTTAAGCGTAGTCCACCATAAACAGTTTTACCCTAAAACTTCCCTAGAAATAATTTATATGGCAGAACAACGTTTGCCGGGACAGCTAGTATTTTAATAATTTTGCATCCATAATTCATAAACAAAAATATTTTTCACGTTTTCCATTGAATATAATTCGTTAATTATTATATTCTTTATTCTGTTACTTGTGTAAACATTTCTTAAGATCAAAGAGCTTTAGGATTCTCAAACACCGAAAGGTTTTGCTTTTTACTAATTTTAATGTTAGGAAGATTTCGACGACTAAAATTGTTTTCCTCTTTCCAATCCACTATGTTGAACGGATCTGAATAGCTTTTTTACCTTTTATTTTCTGTACGGACATCTTAAATATATGTTCCGATTTGTATTATAGTGGCTTCGGAACGTCCTGTTTTATACGAAGAAAAAAAAGTTATCTTTATGTGAGTATTTAATAGGTGTATTAATATTTATATCGCTCAAAGAAGTGTAGTGTTGCTCCCTAGTTGCGAATTTTTATGTTGTACATTATGGATAATTTTGAAAAAAGATATAATCAAATAAATTATATTATCCTTTCAAATTAATCACTAAATTTATTTTATTTTTAACAAGTTTTTCATGGTGTAGATAGCTTTTGAGATAATGTATTAGACTAGCTAGTAAGTCAAAAATACTCCTATTATCGATTTTTATGAACGATAAATAGTATAACACTTCCTTATTTTTATCTATCGTGCTTGTCGTGTTAACAGTCCCAGTTTGAATTGTAGGATTTTCTTATTTGATTTTAATTTTTGTGTTCAAACATGTGGTGTATTTTCTCGGTCTCGAGACTTTATTCTGGATGTTTGGCTTATCACGGAAAATCAACATTTTACTGTAACAGTGATGTTAAACTTGGAATAATATCATCTATGGTGCGCAATAGTAAGATAGTAAATTACATAAATATTCACTGTATTTCAGTATTTCAGATATTTGATTTATTATGTTTATGCGAAATCTAAGCATTGTTAAATTTACGGATCTTTTTCGGAATTAAACATTCCGATTTTAATTCTCAAAATTTGAACACTTTTCCTATGGTTATAGGTTAGTTATATGTTTTACGTCCTAATCTTACAGTATTGGTTTTCCCGGATTCAACAGAAGCAAGCTTAAAGATGCACCTAATCTCGTCTATGACTCGGCCACCATGGTAACACAGCATTTCACTTAGATTATATTTTGCTTAATATTAATTAGTGATTAATATATTTGTTCAATTCGTAGTCTATGTGTGGTGTAAAAAAGTCGTCTTTCTTATCGATTGTACTTAAATAATTTAGTTTAACATTTAGTGTAACAGAAAACTTTAATTTATTATAATTTATAATATTAAGTTTTTATAATTTATAATATTAATATATTAATTTATTAATTTATAGAAATTAAACAGAAAATAATTAGGATGATACTTACCAAGTTCTTGCAACGGGCGCGTGACATACGTAGATATATCTCTGCACGGCTAGCGCGAGCGTTAACCAGATGCTAGCGGTGTGGAACATCGCCGGTATGACCTGAATGACAGTAAAAATATTACTCATTTTTTTCTAGACGGATCGCGTACATTGCACTTAATACATCTATATATATATATCCGTAACATGTCAGCAGGAGCTGACGTAAATCACGTTCTCGTATTCCGATGAATGGTGTTTTAATAAAGATAACGCATATTCTATACAGCGCGGCGTTTAAATGTATAACGCATATTCTATACAGCGCGGCGTTTAAATGTAGTTCTGTTTTACATTACAAGAAATATATAAGTGAATTTGACAGATGATATAGAACGTATACCACGGAAAGAGATAGTAATCTTTGGTTGCAATGTAAATACAAAGAGATAGTGCCTCAGTTCATATCTACTTCTTATTTGTATGTACTATCATTGATGATATAATACATTGCTAAAAGGTGGAATTTGTGCTTAAGTTGTTAAAAAGGATTGTGTTCAATTTCCAGATTAGACTATTCCCTATAATGGCCGGTTTCAATCACTACATAATATAAAACAAAGTCGTCCCGCTGTCTGTCTGTCCGTATGTATGCTTAGATCTTTAAAACTACGCAACGGATCTTGATGCAGTTTCTTTAATAGATAGAGGGATTCAAGAGGCAGGTTTGTATGTATAATACATTGCACCCGTGCGAAGCCAGGGCGGGTCGCTAGTATTCTATCTGGAGATATATTTGGTTACTAGCGATGGTATTTGACAATAGCTACATAATACAATTACGTCTAAAATCTATCTCCAGTAACCAAATCCATATGTAGATAGAATATTGAAACTGTAAGTTGCAGGAAAGAAGGAGTGCGGTTGAAAACTTTTTAAGTGAGTAGCTAAAATCTTAGCTTACTTCGAACTCTGTCACTTATTTCCTCTACACGGCGCGCGGACAACTTGTTTCCCTGAAGGAAATTGTGCAGTTGAAAGCGCTTATCTGGCTTACGTAAGGGGAACTAGCAGCGAATGCGGCAGACGTTTGGAGAAAACTGGGGCACATTATTTGTGACGTCGCAAAGAATCTGCTGGTACTGCGGCGAAATTTAGTTTGTACTCAAAATAAACACTTATTGTCACACGGCTATTTGCACTTAACATGTTCATTAAAAATTGTAGAAAAAGTACGAAAAGATAGTCGCCGCTGTGGGAATCGAACTCACGTCTTCGGCATTCGCGGCCTGGCAATTTAGCCACTAAGCTAAACGGCTGATTGGCACATCGACGAGAATCTTAACGTCTTTGATCTACATTGTTATATCATTTCCAGCATTCAAACAATTATGAATATCGTTTTATTTAATATTGGCGTGGGCTGGATCCCCACTATAGGAGAAATATTGTGTGGTGAGCATAGTGTTTTTACAGTGTCGGGGTGTTTATGTACGTATAATATGTATTTATTTACAAAAGAAATGCATGTCTAAGTATGTTTGTCAGTTATCTATTACCCATAATACACGGCGTTGCTTAGTGTGGGACTAGAAAACGTTTAAAAATGTGTCCTGAAATATTTGTTTTTATTACTTTCAATACCCTAAAACTGTGTCTTTTTATTATTCTATTTAACAGGTAAAAAAAAATTTGAACTACCATGGCCAATTTTATTCGATAATTCCAGAAGCCCAATTATCCTCAGAATGATTGTTACATTATATACTGGCAATTACACAATTGCCGGTTGTTACCGCGTCAGTTGATTTTCGTTCCAGGTAAATGTTTAACCAATTTTGCGTCCGCGTACAAAATATGCGTCGCCATTCGTACCTGGGCTTGGTTTATTCGTAATAACATCGTAGAGTTAACAAATTTCTTGGCTATTTAACGAACTTGTGAGTTCAATGTTGAAACAAAAATTGTTAAGATTAAAGTTTGAAAGGTATGTTGGAGAATAAAATAGGGAAAAATTTTAACGACGCTTTTTTATATTTAGCTCATCCTCCCAATTAGCGTTAATTTCGTTAATGGTCGCAATTTAATCGTAAACGTTATTTAAAATTATATTCTGTTTTAATTAATAATGTTATAAAATAACTACAATTATAAATTTAACATAAGTAAAATGAATCCCATTTGCTAAAAGCGAAAAAGACAAGAACGGTTGGCAAACGTACTTTTGTTGGCAAAGGTACGTAAAAGGTATTGAAATGTTTTGTTTTTGTCAGTTTATATATGGATTAGATTTTGTTATTGAGGTCTATATCTAATCTATGCTATATCTAATCTTATCTATGAAGGAACTGTAAAAGTACCGTGTGCAAATTTGATCAGAAAGCTAAGTTGTGGTTGAATGCCAGAATAATTGCATATTTACTTATTACTGCCAGCAATGTCTTTGCTTCCGTTACCAGATTTCATCTGCACTGTTTCTTTTCATTTTCCAGCAAGATTTCCAAGAATCAGTATTTAGTTGCTAACCAACGACTTCTATTGTGTTCGAAAAATAGTTGATCAATACTATTCACTTTTGTGAATAGAGTTGATCAACACGATGAAACCGATCATCGAGATGGTGGCAAGTCGGCAAACCCAACTTTAAAACCAACTTTTGACAAAACCAGCAAACTTAGCTTCTTCGATTACACAATTGTTAGCTACGGTCGGTCTTATGAATTAAGTCCATCAATAAGAAGTTTCAGTAAACAGCGTAATGTTGTATTATAGTTATTTTTATAGTCGACATCCAAAACCACTTAACAATCTTATCTTCATTGAATATAATAAAACTGGATGTGGAAAGTTCCCTCAAAGGTAATTAAAACTCCACAAAAGTAAAATTGGAAAAGTATTCCGCGATAAGATAACCACAACTAGTATATTAAGATCTAGGAAAAAGTTTTGGAAATAACTATAGGTAAGAAGATGTTTAGTCAAATACGATGTTTATCTATAACAATTTGAGAACAAAGATAAATCGTTTTTTATTGCATTAGCTTTTATTTTTAATAAGATTATGTAGTTCGCTTAAATTTTAGTTGGAGAATTATTCTTTATTACAAAAATAAAATGAAAAGACCATAACTGTAAACAGGTCAGATGTAGAATAATTTACAAGTCATTATGTATAACGAGGTAAACTTTTAAACCTTTAATCCTTGTTAAAATATAAATATATATAAATATTCTGAATATATAAATAAATCAAATTCACTTGTACAACATAAAAACATGTCATAATTACATTTTCATTATCAATATTGAAATATTCGAAAAATAACATAACAGCTGAAGATTGAGATCCTTTATTCGACATTAATAAAATTAGTAAAATTTACTCAGACCGTTATGTTTTAATTATTCTTTTTAAATTGAACTAAATAAGTAAAGGTGAATAATTTAACTAAATAAATAAAACTTAATAACATAATTAGGGTTTAAACTAGAATTACATGTTGATATCACTTGGTGTTGGTTGTTTAGAAAGAGTGTCAAAAGTTTTAATTACACGTAAATAAGTGATATTATGAGACACGGAAAATCGTTGTATTATCTGGCAACAGTACTATTAAAAGCCTTATGAACAACGACAAACTTCCACTTCGATGAGGTTACCTGGAAACCTCGTTTGACAATATCGTACACGAACCTGCGCCCATTCACGGTACAATGGCTTGCAATAAAGTTATATCAGAATATACTCCCAACGCTAATATCGTTTTTGACACAATTTACACTTCGATTGATCAGTCGTATATTAACTTTATAATATATAACAGATGAAAGTCAGTAAAACATATAATATAGGAGGATCTTACTAAATGAAACTAGTGGACAGACTATTCTGTGACCATGGACGCTGTAAACGGTTCGAAGCGTCGGTAATTAAAACTAAAAATGAACGTGTATGTAATCGCGTAAATACAAGAAATTATTAAGGATTATATTAATAACAAGGAGTATCTTATAATTAAAATACTCCAGGAACATTTAAATATGTAATGATCCATTATTGCATTATGTCTATATTAAATGTAAAACATCACTTCATATTTTCTTATAATTACGTCGGTAAGATCGAAAAATATTATGCATATTTCATTACTCAGTAATTTGTATCTAAATGTAATTTCCAAAACACACGATTTACCAAAAAAAAAACAACAAACCGAGCAAAGCTCGGTTCTCCGGGTACTATACATATATATATATATATATATATAAGATATTTCCACCGATAATTGACTCATCACGATATTTCTGGAACCATAAATCGTTGAGAAATTAGGTAGGAATATTCCTTTCGCCGAGTAGAGGTGAGCTAAGAACGGATTTTACGAAATTCCACAAAACAACGTTTGCCGGATCAGCTAGTCTATTATAAGACGGCGGTAATCACTTAACATCAGGGGAACCACTTGCTCGTTTGTCCTTTCATATAAAAAAGTTATTGGCAAATCCGGATGAGCATTTAAGTAATGCATAGTTTGTGGAGGAATGGACGGCGGATTAGAACAGTGGATGCGACCAGTCTGAAATGATGATGATGATGATGAATGCAAAAAAGGAGTAGAAGAAATACACAAGAATTATTCTATTTAAAAACATTAATGTTCGTAACTACTTACAATTGATATAAGAACTCACCTCGTTCATGTAGTTCCATGCTTGGCATGCGCGCACGGGGCTTAGTGGTTTGTAGTGGTTGCCGAAAGTGTACATGTAGAAGAGCCATGGGGCGGGGAACAGCATTGTGAACATGTCGCAGAGCGCCATCGCCATGAGAACAACGTTCGTGGGGGTACGCATGTGGCGACGGGACAGCACCACCACGATCAGTGTGTTAGCGACGGTCGTGGTGGCAAGGAGGAAGGGCGCGATGTATCTGCGAGACAAAGGAGTTATGTTACTTGAATATGAACTGTGGTTGGACCACGCAACAATGTTCCCTGTAGCACGAATGGGTAGGTCCATCCGGGTAAGTATCACGACCTCACAGAAGACCGGCGTACTGTTGCGTGCGGTAGCTGGGGCCCACTTTATTTATTTTTATTTAATGCATTTGCAACCCTACGGGTGTTGCAAAAGTCCATGGGTGGCGGTTATCACTTAACTTCAAGCGAACCGCTAGCTCGTTTGCCACGTTCTCGCATAAAAAAAATTATGTATAAGAAATGACAGCTCGGTTGGCGCAATTGTTTAATTTAGAATTTGAATTTACATTGATAAAATCCCTTCTTACTACAAGGTTCGTGGGGTGGGTACAGTTTTTATAAAATGAGATGTGTAAAATAATTCCGGGGATGGAAGTTAATTTGTTTTATTGTGTTAGCACGGCACAATAATAGTTGAGATGTTGCAAAGTTGCCTTAATTTAGTTTTGAATTTGATCAGCAGGCAAATCTGTAAATTGCAGGATCGGCCAGTCACCGGAGAATTCAAATATTTCACTATACAATACCAAATAAAAATTATACTAGCCTAATCAAGATTCAAGATAGTAATAGCATTCATAATTATATAGTAACCATTTTTCATACTTTTTAAACATTGTTTTGTTGTAAAAGCACTTGAATAACGTCGAGCAAATTTCAAATGAACTATCACTGCATCTACTAAGCTTATATACTACTATAAGCATTTCAAATCAACTCACCCGTACATCGGTTCGGCGTAGTTTATCGGGAATTCACAAGTAACGTTCAAATATACGTGCGAATGATTCGACGAGCAGTAATCGTCCGTTGTGAAGTTTGAATACTCCGGGAAAGCGGTTTCATTGTCGTATAGACTGTAGTTGAGGCTGGATGTCGCGATACTTGTGATGCCATTTGACCCGTCCAATTCTCCACCGGTCTTTGCGTTGACTGTGTTGTTTTGTTGTACGTAATAGTCGACCCAATCTCGATCTTGCATCTCCATTTTGTCTCCTGTTCGGCTATCTCTTGATGTAGGTTGTCATGGTTTTCGGTTATGAGGCGGTTGGTTTCATGAGGCGAAGTTGAGCGTTCTTCGTGACCTGTCTGCAAAGAGAAATTGTATACAGATGTTATAAACAGCCAAAACTGAATATCTTAGTTATCAAAAAGATAAGCAAGTTGTTTTACTTAGGACAGAAATTAAAATCAATGTCAGTTAAGGGCAGCTAAGAAAAAAAAAACAGCAAGAAACAATTAAATCAGTCGGACTGTACTGATTTATTCGTAATGTATAATACAATATGCATGTGTTTACTAAATTTGCTGTTCTATGAGGAGAGACGTATGCTGTGTTAATAGATATATGAACAATTTTGTACGTTTCCTTTCATTATGGAATCACACAAGGTTGCTTTCAATTCAAAGACTGTGGTTTTGTGAGAACGAATATTATTTTCGAAATAGATGTATGTTTTATTGTCTTAATATTTCATCTAAATACTTCACAAATAAAGTATTATTTTACTTTGCTGCTGAACACTGAGTGAGTACTTCAATAAAAATAATTATACCGATAATAAGAACCGTTAATACAAGTAGTCAAGACTTTTAATCTGACAGTACATACCTATATGTAATGAGAGACAATATCTAACTTAAACTTGAGCTGTAATTGATAAGCCAATTAAAATAGAACAAACACAAGAGATAGATCACGAACTGTGGAATTAATGAGATATGAATTAACTGTGCACAATGTAGTTATAAGGATCGGCGGTGACGCTCTCAGCTCCCATCGATTTTAATTAAACAAGCCGTTTTGTGTTGATTTATTCGAAATTAGGCGCGTGGTGCGGTATGCGAGGGGTAACTTTGTCTCAACTTTAGTTCACTCGCGTTTTGCTTGAATAGGTATAAATGAAAGGAAAATGTTTCTTGTTATCATTATTATGTAGGCGTACTTATAAGTTGTTTTTGTCTGATTGAGTTCATAAATAAAATATATGTACATATACGTAACAAAATATATTAAATAGTAGATCAGTAGATAGATATAGTATAGACTAGTCTTCACATACGAAATTGGTGCTTTATATGAAAAAAGAAAAAAAAAAATGAAATTATATATTTAGTCAATCGAAGTATGTACCATTACTTTCTATTCACTTTAGCTATTTCAAAGGTAGTTCATAGATTTCATTGCTGAAAAAATTGTGGCAGCTAGAATCAATGAAATCTATGAATGCGGCTTGGGCTGCCCGATCGGAATTGAACTTTTTGCCTTTGGAAGAAATTGTCAACTAAGAAATGTTGATTTTGGACACTTTAGATATACATATCATATACATCTTTCATAGATAACAAAGGTAAAATAACATTGACACCAGCAGAGAGATAATATTTTGTAGGTGGCTTACATGAGTACGGTTCAACTAACGTTAAGTCATCCGTCAACCGTACCGTCACACTTTACGTGACCAAAACTGTGCAGAAGCGTTGCTAGCCTACAAGGAGCAGGCTTTTTCCTTGAAGGATCATAACCGTCTTATCGAGCCGGAAACACGGCCGGTGATAATTGAATCCACATAAAGTTCTTGTAGAATGTTTCTCGAAAAAAAATCAGAACAAAAGGCAAAATCATACATTCTGATATTAGATTTACTCCGTACTCTCTGTGACACCGTGGTGTTTTCCTAAACTAGTTTGAACAATTGCAAAACCAGCTTCGTGGCTGGAGTTTTGCCTGTAACTAAATATTCATGAACAAGCAGGCACTAGTTAGCTTTCCTTCATTTTATCATAGTCGAGCACTGCAGTACAATGTACTGATACAGTTTTTATTGCCAACAATTCATTTCAATTCCTTTTCTTATAAAATTTTATCTTTTTATATTTTTTTTATTTTGATATTTTATCTTTTTTTTTATTCATATAAAATACTAAACGTTGACTCGCAATATACACTTGCGAAAGAGTTTTTGATTCGGTCACTGCTTCTGTTCAGGAACGGAACACTTTTTGAAAGAAAGAACGCATTTAATTTCGGAAAAATTTCGCAAATCTTATTTTACAAATATCTTTTTTTATTTTACTTCGCGAAGAGATTATTAAATGTTTTTTTTTCATCGCGTTCCCGATATAAATAAAAGATTTTCCAGAAATTTCTTAAATGTTAATAAATTCCTTTCTTTATCGTCGAATGAAGAATTCATTCGTGTTTATTCGTTAATGATTTATACATTTCGCAAATAGGTAATGAACGTCTGAACGTCTGAAGGTTCTTTCGCAAGGTCATTGCCCTTCGCATTGGCGAGGGGTACCGTTATATGTAAATTTACGTCGAGATTGCTATCTTATAAGGTTGCCTCGGAAAAGTAAGAGACAGACAATTTCCGCTCTGTGATTGGGATCCAACTTTCGTTTGATCTATTCTCACGATTTTCACAATACTGATCTTGTTTTGTCCAAATAGTTGTTGCGGAGAATTAGGGTTAAAAGGTTTTTCTTTGTCTTATTTTGTAATCTTTATAGTCAGGATCCGTCTGGTTGATTTTATGTTTATTTTATTGGCGACATTCATGTACTTTGATACCTCAATATAATAACTTTGTTATAAAAGGTAAGCAATGAGACAATATGCTGCTTCTGTTTGTTTTCTAGATAGTGTGATAAATAAACTGATAGATAATTTTTTTTTACTTTGTCGTTCATTAAAAGCACAATCTATAGTTGTGGCTGCGTCAACAGTCGTCGTTGTGGCACGAATGGGTAGGTCCGTCCGAGTAAGTACCACGACTTATAACCTCACATGTTATATTTCTGCGTTTCATCTGGTGAGTGTGGTAGTCGGGGCCCACTTTATTTATAGGTGGCAACACCTACAATTTGCAACCCCCATTCGTAACCCTACGGGTGTTGCAAATGTCCATGGGCGGCGGTTATCACTTAACATCAGGTGAACCACCAGCTCGTTTGCCACTTTCTAACATAAAAAAAAATGTTTTGTCTGGTGAATGACGTCAACTCTTTTTAAGAAACAAACACCCTTATCCGGGACGCTTGTGGGTCACACAAATACTTGTCCCGTATGGGAATCGAACCCATGAAACTCGACGCCGAAGCCAATAGATTAGCAACGGTGCCATTGTCATTGCCATCCTTTCATACTTTTTTAAATAATATCTCAAAATTTTATTAAGTTACGTCTTGAAGTGACTTCCCCAATTTATGCTCCCAAAGTAGGCTTGGTACTAACGTCGCTGGGAGATTAATTAAATACAATCTAATATATAAAATTCTCGTGTCACGGTGTTTGTAATTGAACTCATCCGAAATGGCTCGACCAATTTTCGTGAAATTTTGTGTGCATATCGGCCAGGGCGGAGAATCGAACATCATCTATTTTTTATCACCCCAAATATTTCTTCTACCCTACATATTCCATAGAAATAATTTATACGGCAAGACGACGTTTGCCGGGTCAGCTCGTGTTTTATAAGTTTATTGATGAGAATCAGGGTTTACATTCCAAAAGATAGTTCGTATTAGTTTAGCTATTTCATATATGTGCCAAATGACACAATAAAGAGAATTTAAACATAGCTCAATTGAAAATACAAACGCTGTAATGGGAACAACAAATTGAATTGATTACGTTCCGCTGGTGGAATTTTTTAATAGAACAAAACCCTTTACAACGAAAGCAAGAAAAGGAAATCATTACAAAAGCTTTATTAGCTTTCAAAGAAAGGGTCCTAAATTGAAAACACTCCAAAAAGTTCCGCTATCTTACCAATTTATTTATAAAAACAAAGGTTTTCACGATAAATGAATATTTCATTACAAAGGGTGAGCAACAGTAACAAAAAGTCGATTTCTTTCTCAAATTAAATAAATATCCGTGGAAAGTATTCAGATCAATATTATTGTAGACGTTTCATTTTAAATCATAGTGTTGTTGTAAACTTTAAATGTTATGTATACAAAAATAGATATATATACATATATATATATATATATATATAGGAGTTGATATTTGGGGTTATTTTCACAAAAAAATTTAATATCTTTATACTGAAATTCTAAAATAGTTTAGTTCACAGAATATAAAGATATTAAAATTTTTTATAAAAATAACCCCAAATATCAACTTCTAATAGCTCAACGAAAAAAAAGTTTTAAAAAGTTCTACTCGGTAAAAGATTATTCTCAATTTTTTTATGTTTATGTTATGGCCCAAAGTAAGAAAAGCTTTTACGAAACACAACGCTATTGCTTACTCAAAGTTTTGTTATCATTCCCTTGAAGCCGAAGTTTTAAAAGCGTAACAAAATAATGGGATTGCTTTTAGTCACAGGGAAACCCAGAGGGATATGAACTTATCATGTCAAGTATGTGCGAGCATTTAAATTTTAGAGTCGTTCCAGCCTAGAAGAATGTGGGTAACAATTTTTGAGCTGCGTGCATGTATAATATACTAGTATTTCTTCTTATCGCCGTTATATCAAGAATTTTGTAAGGCCTGCATTTAAAAGTGCTGGCTACTTACACCCAGTTTCCGAAAGCGCAATCAATTTTAATTTACGATAAATTTCTTGTCAATCGTTGTTTAACATGATCTGAGTTGCTAGAACGTCGGAAAACAACATTGATTTTGATTTGCAATTAGTCACTGATTAACGGACAATCAACACAAAAACGAGTTTCTGAAAGCGTTTTTCGGTGGTCAACGAGCTGTCAAAAGTTTTATTAAGTAATCTGTCAATTTGGACGATCAATCGTTGGTTAATAATGTATTTTATCAAAAATCTTAGTTTTTATTAAAAATAAACATAATTCCCTAATACGTTGTAAGGACATTCATGTGTTCTATTACCTATTTATTATTTATTATTATGCGAACATATCATGCGATTAGAAAAAATACAAAATGCAATTCAAAAGTTAATGAATAACATGGATTCTTTCTTTTTATAATACTTACTTGTTTATTATGGGTAAAAG